TATCTAAAATGTACCAATAAAATTAATTTTTAAAAAAGAATGAAATTTCATCTACCAAAGGTTAGATGCCACCAACTATGACAGATTGCACTGTACAATAAATGAATGATTATTTTGAAATATGTCTTCCCCACTCCATAAAAATGATGTTTTAGGACTTGTCCTGCTAATTTTTCATTCATTTAGATTTTGCCTGAGAGAGAAAGTTGACACTGTTAAATAGTATTATGTTCTCTGAGCTCCCTTAGCCTGTGGGAAAACATTCAACTGCTGTTATATAAATTAAGCCAAGTTAAATATTTGCGACATGAATGTGGAGAGAATGTGTCTTTTGTCTTTCTGTTGTCTAGAATAATAGAAACAATTTGGTTTTGTCAAAAAGATAAAAGAAAAAAAAAAAGCCCTCACCCTGGGGTTGTTACACTGACTTAAAAAAGATCTGGTATTCCATGAGGCCCTTAATGATGAATTTATGAAATATGGGAGGAAAAAACAACAAAGGCACAAAGGCCCATCAATAGCAACTTCCAATTTTTTAGATTTTGGGGATAACAGTGGAATAAATCACTCAATCTTCAAGTGCACATTCATCACTTTCCACCCCGTGTACAGATTAGATGTGCAGTTACTGACTGGTAAGATGAAATACTATCATATGGCTCTTCTTCCTTTCAGATTAGCGTTCTATTTTGGGTAAATCTTGACAAGTTCCAAAATCTGGAAAATAGGCTCCCAAACCATTTTTAAACCCAATTCAGAGACTAGGAAATCAGCAATGTGACCTAATAGGAGTTTGAGATCTGCAGTTAGTCAGTCTGTTGAATTCCCAGTTTTTGGCTCTTCCAAGCTTCCTAACTGGCAAGTCACCCAGAGTTCCCATTTCCATTACAACAGAAGAAATTATTAATAGTGTCATCTTCCAGGATACTAAGTGTCACATCAAGTGAAAAGTAAGGTGCAAAGAGCTCCACAGGGGAATGAGTCACTACCTTTTGCTCACCTTCTGGAGTGTGCTCAAGTCTCAGAAATTTAGCTAGCACTAGCAAGGTACTAGGAATAAGGATATTACAGTCTCAAACTCATGTCTACACAAGAATCAGTTTTTCTGTTAGCAAAATAGGTTACTTTTCCTCCAGTATACCTATGCATTTATATCCACTAGTAGTGAATGGATCACTATACTGAGAATCAGAAGGTTTAACTGCTCTACTACAATGAGTCTGCAGTACATTAGAATCACCTGTGGGACACCTAAACATCCCAATGTCCAATCACACCCACCACTAAATCAGAATGTCTGAGGCAGTGTAAGAATCAGTATTGTTAAAAAAAAAAAACAAAAAACCCTCAGATAATTCCACTATAGGGCAAAGTTTGGAAACCAAACTCCTTTGTATAGTCACTGGAGGCTACCTTTTGACATGTTTCTGAAGTACGGCCAACTTCAAAATGAAAATGAAAGACCAGGATGCCAAATCTTGAGTCCCTGTACCTTCTTCCAATGAGTTTGGTAGTAGCCACTTCCCCTGGCTCTTATGTTTGGTGGGGAAGAGTAAACCCAGTGGTAGAAGGTGAGCCTAGAGTCAGGAGAGCAGAGAAGACTCCTGCCCAAATTCTATGATGAACAAAAATAGTATAAAGAGGAAGTCTAATCTCAAATAGAATTGGACAACTCTAGTTTCACCAAAGATAAGCACATTACTTTACATCAAAGTAGGATTATGAATCTGCTGGTGGAGAGTGTAGCAGGATTTCCCTCACGGAAACCTTTGTTTTCTCAGAGCATTTCAAAGACCAGGATTTCAAGGAACGCACTTTGAGAATACTACAGCAGTGTTGAGATTTCTGTCCTGCAGAATACACTTGACAAAGTCTAGAAACATATTTGGTTGTCATAACTGGAGGTCAGTTGGCTGTTACTGGCATCTGTAGAGGCCATGGATGCTGGAAAACACCATACAACTCACAGGACAGTCTCCACCACAAAGGGTTATGCAGCACCAAGTGCCAACAGTAGCACAGTTGTAAAGCCATGGACTTCTCCCATGGACCTCTCCCTATTCTTAGAAATAAATGATGGTTATGATGACAAAGAAAGATAGGAAAAAGAGTAGAAGGGGAAGAAGAGAAGGAAGGAAAAAGGATGAAATGAAAAGGCGAAGGTGGAAATAAGAGGCTGGAGAAAGGAGAGAAGAAAAAGAAGTCAGCTTCCTAATTGTCAAAAGTTGGAAGCCACCAACATGTCCTTAAGAAAGCAAATGGGTAAATAAACTGTGGTGCATCCAAACAACAGAATAGCATTCGGCACTAACAAGAAATGAGCTATCAATCTAAGAAAAGATGTGAGGAAAATTAAATGCATAGTCAAGTGAAAAATGACAATGTGAAAGGGCTACCAACTGTACATTTCTAACTACATGACATTCTGGAAAGGGCAGGGCTATGCAGGTGGTGAAAGGATCAGTGATTTCCAGGGATTTGAAGGGGTGGATGTGAATAAAGGGAACACAGGATCTGTAGGGCAGTGAGATGATCCTGTTCAAATCATTCTACAGTTGTGGACATGTCATACACTTGTCTAAACCCAATGTACACCAAAAGTGAACCCTAATATAAGCTATGGACTTTGGCTGATGATGATGTATCAATGCAAATTCAACAATTTTAACAAAGGTACTACTCTGATGAGGGATGTTGATAGTGGAGGGGGCTATGCTTGTGCTGGAGTAGAAATACCTTGGGGAGTTCTCTGTCCTTTCAGCTCAACTTTGTTATGAACCTAACATTTCTCTAAAAACAAGGAAAAAGAAGCAAGAGCCGCACTAGTGTTGGTTGCCCTCAGGCTCCACAGCCTTTATTGCTTCTCTGAGTTCAGGAGGCCAAACGCCCGCTGTCACCTGCAAGCTGGTGGTCCGTGGCCGCGGGGGACAAGCAAAAGCAGGGAACTCTTTTTCACCCAGTGGATGTTCTATGCCTGAACTCGGTGTCCTTCTTTGCTATGAAGGTTTCAGACCCTGCTGGGCTTCTTGGGATCCTTGTTCTTGGTGGGCATGAAGACGTACAGCTCCTCTATGAGCATCTCCATGCGGGCGGTGACCTCGGTCACAGTGTCGATGACCAGCCGCTGCTGCAGCTTCAGCTTTTTGTTCTCCCACAAGGCCTTGTTCTCCGCTTGGAAGGCGCGGGGCTCTTCCCGCAGCACGTGCAGGGCCCTGTTCTCCTCCTGCAGGAGCCGGTTCTCCTCGCGCAGGGTCTGCAGCGCCTGGCCCATCTCCCTCAGCAGCTGCAGTGGCCCCGGGCTCGCCTTACCCTCCTCCTCCCTGGATGGCTCCGAGAGGCTGCCCATCAGCTCCCGCCGGGCGCACAGCAGCTTCTGGGCGTCCTCCTGCGGGGTCCCGGGACCTTTGGGTTCCTCGAAGGGGGAGGAGAGGCCCGGGCCCTGGTCGGGCAGCAGCCCCGGGCTGTGGGGCTCCTCGAGTGGAGAGGGGCCGGGTGTGCCGCTCTCCGCGGCGCCCGCCTTGTCCTCCACCCGGGCCCAGTAGTCCTGGCTCTGAGCCAGCAGCTGCTGCAGCGTGCGGTTCTCCTCCAGAAGCAGCTTCAGTGAGCTGCTCTCCGTGCTTCGCTGCGCCGGCGGGGCCGCCGGCTCCTTCTGCACCGCCTCCTGGGACGCGCTCTCCTTGCGCAGCAGAGGCGAGGGGGGCTGGCTGTCCTTGCAGCCCAGCGTGGCCTTGTGCTCCTCCCAGAAGACCTGCAGGATCTTGTTCTCCCTGCGGAGCGCCCTGTTCTCCTCGCGCAGGGCTCGGTTCTCCTCCCGCAGGCACCTGCTCTCCTCCTGCAGCAGGTACTCCTTGGCCAGCCTCTTGTGGTGCAGCTTGTGGTGCAAGGAGGAGGACGGAGAGAAGTACGGGGACTGCGGCTGGCAGTTCTCATTCACCCACCTCCCGTCCTGGAACACTAACATCTCATCGCTGAGCTGCACGCGGGGAGGGTTGTAGTCCAGCTCCAGGTCGGCCTGGGAGGTGGGGCCCTCCATGGGGTCGAAGGGTGCGGAGGAGAAGCGGTTGAGTGGGTAGGAGTGCTGGCTGATGATCCGGCGGCTCACCCCGGGCGCAGTGGCCTGGCGCGGGCAGGGAGGGGTGCTGTACAGGTTGTGGACCCTCAAGTAGGGCTCAGTTGTGCCCTTCTGCGGAGAGAACAGCGAGCAGCGTTAGTGGAGCAACTGAGAGGTGGTGGACCAAAAGGCCAGGACGCTCCAGTGAGTGCATGTAGCAGTCTGCCCTGGCCACAGTGGTCATGTTTGCCGCTTGGGGTCCTCACAAAGCAATAGGTCAATGCATATTCTTCCAACTAGCTCTTCTCTATAAAGCCTCCAGGAACACTGAATTAGGTTCCTGCAAGTCTCTGGTCACAAGGTTTTTGCCAGCTAATCAATACATAACTTTGTTTTATGTGTGTGTGTGTGTTTAAAGGCACTTTAATTAACATGTATGATTGATTCATTAACGTTGAACACATCATCAATCACTGTCATTCACACCTGAACGCTTATCTAGCATGAGTTTCCTCCATAAGCTCATCTCAGCCCTCTTGTGATACAGGAACACCAGACAGTTCAGCAGCGCTACACATGGAAGCTATCTTAAACAGTGAAATCACACACACAAAAAAAAACCACAAAAATCTCAAAACTTGGCACTAGTAAACTCCAAAAAGAACTCTATTTTCTCAACAAAGAGCTCCTCAGCTGGAGACATGGCACCACCCTGTGCATGTCTAACAATGGCCATAAAAGTGCTGTGACTGTGATACTGGGGTTACATATTTAGGTGAGCAGGCAAATTCACAAATATAAAATCTACACATAATGAGATTCAGATGTAAATGGTGGAGGCTAAAGGCATAGATTTTGGAATCAACTAAATTATTTTGAGTTCTGGGCTCACCCATTGCCAAGAATTTGGGCAAGTCACCAGAGGTTCAGTATCTACAATTTTAAATTGGGATAATTGTACTTTCTTGCTTCATATTTTAAGGATTAAAAGAGGTAAAGTACAAAAGCCGTAAGCATGGGCTCTAACACATTCTTTCACCCTTGAAGAGGAGCAAATGCTGTTCCAAGCTACCCTGCCCACAGGTGTGTACCCACCTTGTCATGAGCAGAGCGGCTGCGTGAATCACCCCAACACACACCCAAATCCCTGTGTCCAAAAGACAGTAGGTCCTGTTGGCCATCCCAGCCTTCCCCCATTGTCCATTAAAGCTCATCCTGCATTCTCAGCTGCCCTGGAGTCTGGCCTGCCAGCTGCCCTTAAACATTCACCTAGCCCTTGATACAGGGTGAGGTTCAAAGTTGAGCCCGGCTGTTAATTTTGGAAAGAAGAACACCGTTCCGGATTTATCATGGACTGACTGGGGTTCAAAATGAGGGAATGAGGACAGCAAAAGGCAGTAAGGCATTCATACAGAGGATCTCATGACAGTGGCTGTGATCTCAACACCACAGTCAAAAAAAAGGATCAGAGCTACATGGTTTAAACCCAACAGGCTAGTGGCTGTCACACTTCCCAGTGGAGAAGACTAATCCAAGTGAAATGCACATTTCTGAATCGTTCATTTGAGAGTCTGATTTTACCTGATCTGGAGTGTGGGTCAGGAATCTGCCTTTCCAACCAGCTCCCTCAGGTGATTCTGGCAGCAAGTGGTCAGGAAAGCTCTAAGCTAGGTAAAAGTACAGTTCCCACACCAGGTTATACCAGGGTTAAAGACCAAGAAGTCAAGACTGAAAGTCAAAGCCTTCTCACCCTGATCCTGTCACTGATGGACAGTATGAAACTAATAGACTCTCTCACTCTCTCTGAGACCAGATGTTTGACTAGTGAAAAAGGGAAAGTCAGGCTGCATGGTCATAAAGGCACCTTCCAACATTAAAAGGCAGCAACATGTACCTGTAAAACAAGAACAATGACATATGCCCTGCTTCACCACTGCTGTGAAGATTGAATGGGATAATGAAGTCAAAAATGTATTTTAAATTGCCAAGGGCCTTAGATATGTAAGGTATTATTATGAAGAAAAGCAGATTTCACTAGTGCAAGAACTATGAGATGTATTCAGAAAGAAGTGAGCAGGTAGAAAACACACTGGAGAAGAGATTACAATCGCAGTCATGAATTTAAATAAAAATAAGATTATGATAGCTATTTCTAAATATGTCAAAAGCATTTCATCCAAGTATATCAAAACACTGTGCAGATATCAATTCATCATTTGTTGGGTTATTTTCACAATTTTACAGAGATAGAAAGTAGAAACAAGTCAAGCAATCCACATTATGTATGTGTATATAGAGAAATGTAATTTGCATGGTGTATAAAGTTAATTAAAATTCTTTAAGACTCAAAGAGCTAGATAAATAGAAGATACAGTTCTATGCCATTAACTTTGCAATAAGCACAAGCCATTAACTTTGTAAGGATATGCTCAATCTTCCAGATAGCAAGAGTGTGAGGGCATTCTGCAAGCAGAATCTTATTTATTTTCAATAAATTTAGCCTCCAGAGATTTCATATTTCTCAATTGGAAAAACACATTGGCTGCTCTGGCTGATCTGTGATCAGACTGAACCTCACTGTAGATAACCCAGACCATTTCCTTGTATATTGAAGGTCCCTGGAGACTGGGTTTCTGGGAAAGGTAGCCAAGTCCTATAAGGAAAGAATCTCAAGGAGACCTCTCCATCCCCACACAACCCAGGCAAGGCTCCCTCTCAGCAGGATCTGGATCCAGAAGATACAACCATGGAAAACTGTGGTTTTAGTCAACAGTACCTATCCTAATCCTGCTAAAGAAAAGGAAAAGTAAAGCAAATTATTTAATCCTAATTTTATTCTAGCTCCTGAGCATTCTACCCACGGAATTTATTTAATCTTCACAACACTGGTCTATGAAATATTATCACAAGAGGATAAAAATCCAAAATCCAAAATGCTCCAAAATCTGAAAGTTTTTGAGCACTGACATGGTGCCACAGAAGGTAAATCCACACCTGACCTCCTAGGACAGGTTTCAATCAAAGCTATACTAAAGTACACTAAAGCTATTGCATAGAGTGTTTTCAGGCCATATGTATAAGACATATATACGAAGCATAAATAAATTACATCCCCAAGATATCTCATTATGTGTATGTAAATAGTCCAAGATACAAAAAATACAAAATCTAAAACACTTCTGGTTCCAAGAAGTTTGAATAAGGGAAACTCAATTTATACTCTTACTTACAATGTAAAACATACACAAGGAAAACTGGCATAGATTTTTCAAAGTACTTACAGTACTTTCAGAGTCAAGATTATTTTTTTCCTTAACTTCTTTTTTTTTTCCCTTTGGACCAGGGATCGAACTCAGGACCTTGTGCTTGTAAGGTAGGTGAGGCACCACTGAGCTAACCCCAGCCCTCCTTAACTTCTTAATATAGAAAATTTCCAACATATATGAAAGGAGAGAGAATAATCTAATAAATTTCAGTTTACTCATCACCCAGCCTCGCTAATTATCAAATCAAGACCACACTTCTTGCTTCCAGACTTCTACTCAATTCCACAACCACTAAAGACATTAACATGTATCCTTTTAAAGAACCACAATACCATTGTCACCCCCCTTAAAATTTAACTATGATCCCTTTAAATCAGCAAACACTAAGTCAGTGTTCAAATGTCCCCAGTTGTCTCATGGTTCCTTTCTCTGTAACTGTTTTGTTACCATCAGAGAAATAACTCTTCTTGATCCAACTAACTTTCAAAGAGGAACCACCAATGCCTTACACCTGTTCCTCTTTGTATCCAGGATGGCCCTTAAATTGTGCCATCCAACTGCCTTTGTTCCATGTACACGTGCTGAACTAGGTACCCAAGGCCTTTCAACTGTCCCTTCCGTAGAAACGCACTAAGTAGAACCTTAACTTGAGGCGGATTCCCAGCTCTGGACAACCTAGTATTTGAGACCTTGTCTTCCTTGTGTGCCATCAGGTGACTTTGGTCACATCCTCTTGCTCTGCAGCCTTGTTTTCCAAGTCTGTATAATGTAGAATTGGAAACATTATCTCCGTGTGCCTTTTTGGTCTAACTTTCTCTGATCTGATGGATCTGTGTTGGTAGACAGGCCCCATTAGGGCTCTAGCAGACCTCTTTTACCAACACGGTTGGTAACTTGTCCTCTCTCTCAAATGACAAAGTTTCCCCAGCAAAGCTGAGCCTTCTCTATTCCAGGGCCACATTACCTAATCCACAAATGTTGCTAAACAAATAGGTCTGCACTTCTTTATTAGGAATCAAATCCTCCCATCTGTCTGAGCCCTGCTCTCTCTCCTTTTCTCCCCTACAGGTCCAAGAAGGTGGCCACACCCAGTGGGACCTTATGACTTCGTTTCTTAACTACAACACTTAAGCATCTTTAAAATTTTAATAGTCATGCATTTATTTAAATAGGTACCTTATTGTCAGATAATATGCTGATAACTTTCCATAGTCATCTACAATATCTTACCCAAAAGAAATGAGATGGTTCTACCTAACATGGTATAACAAAAGGACAGGGCCACCATTTAAAATCAGGATATTTGTCTCCAAATTCCATGCTCATTCTAGCACTCCACATTGTCCATGGAGTACATGTGTTGATATCATTACAATCCATCCTTTCCTCTCCTTTCCATTTATTTATATGAATAAATTGCAATAACCTAAGGATAGTGAACTGTTCCTTATTTTTCTGACAAACTTAGTCTTGTGAACATCATGGAACCACATATGTAACATGCGTGGAGGCTTAATGAGTCCTTGCCAGTGAATGAATTGACCAAAACGCTCTAAAAAGTTGGAGGAGATATTAGGTTGAATCGAATAAACCTATTAATATTCTACTTTTTTTTTTTTTGGTACCAGGGATCGAACTCGGGTCCTTGAGCTTGCAAGGCAAGCGCTGGAACCACTGAGCTAAATCCCCAGCCCAATATTCTACTATTTTTGACTGAGCACACCACGGGGCTGCCGAGCATGGGCCAGAATGAGAAAGCCGAGAGAATAACAGATGAGAAAAGCAAAATGCTAAATTTCCTCTGAACGCTAATGGCGGTGGTGTCACAGAGGCGGAGAGACGCTGTGGGATCTTCTGGGACTGAGA